AGGGGGCCCTAATATAGTACCCTATATACTAGGATCCTTCTTATAAGGACCCCAAAGTAAGGTACCCCTTATTTTCGGAAGCCCCCTAAACCCTAAACCCTAAACCCTAAAACCGGACCCCAAAATAAGGTACCCCTTATTTTCGGAAACTCCCCACATCTTGTGAATGAAGAGAGGTCTCAGATTTCCGGGTACAGGCCCATGCTGTGCAGGACGAGGCTGGGGGAGCGGGGTGCATGTAACTTAGGGTTTCGGGTTTAGGGTTCAGGGTTTAGGGTTTAGGGTAATATGGAGATGGTCGTTAGCTTGATGTGGGTTTAGGGTTTAGGGTTTAGGGTTTGTAGGGAGATGGTCGGGGATGTGCAGACCGGCGTCTTGCCTTGCCAGGCGCTTCATCTACTCCAAGACGCATGATGTTTGCAAAAGGTTGGATTCCTTCGGGGTTCACTACAGCGCCTGCTTGGGAGAGAATGACGAATGCACGGACCCCACAAGGGAAGCAAATTCATCCCCACCATCGAACCTGGTTGTTATCGGAGGATTTCGAACATGTGGCACGCAACGAATCTACGACATGCTGAAATCCCATCCGAACATTGTGACCCTTTCAATTCAAGTTGGTGCTCTGCCCAAGCTGGAATTGGAGTTTGAGGAGGCAGTCTTCGCCCTGGCAAAAGCGCTGCAAGTGCCTACTGGCCGTCGTTTGATACAGGTTTGCGATGAGTTTCAATTCAAAGTGCCTACCTTCATAGAGTGCGATCGTCTCGTGAACAAGATCCGGGGCTCGTACAACACGTCCATGCCAGCGACACTGGTCGTCACCGACCCGTCCTTCTTTGACAAGGGAGTGGCTTGTTCGAAGCTATCAGTAGTTGCAAGTTTTTCATAAGTAGCCCTAAAGCATGCGAAACTCGGCACGACGTCCCGGGCAGATGCTTGCCACACGCTGGTCCGGCAAAGTCAAGCTGCTCATCGCGGTGCGCGACCCAGCAGACTTCTTATGGGCAGCTTACAACACTTGGACGCTGGCTTCCAGAGCATTGAGTTTTGGTATTTTCTTTTGCGAGCTTGGTTTGCAAGGAGAGCTAGAGCGGACAGTTGTTTACTCTGTGCAGCCAAGGGCGCTACCAGGGGAGCCGAATGGCAACAGCCAGGCTGGCAGCACGAACATGAACCTTGGACGCACATTCATAATGCACAGGAATGTGATCCGCGGGCTCGAAGGCTACCCTTGCGCAAACCCCAAATTGCAGACGTTCGCGGTTTGTACGGGCTTGGGCGTCTTGGAATTGATAGGTAGTAAGTACAGGCTTCGGGGCTCGGAATCAGCTACAGGTCAGAGACCTCAGAGGCCCAAAAGCTCGAGTCTTCGAGCTTAAGACTGGTGGGTTATGATTCCGCGTTGTCAGGAAGACTCACCGCCGCAGCCCGGAGCTGTTCGACGAGTTGGTCTTGGCGGACGGCAAGAAAGAGGCCTGGGCACCCCGGGCCAACAAGATCACCGGGCAGTGGTTCGACCAGATCAAGAATGTGAAGGATGTCTCTAGGAACATCCTCCTCTTGAAGTTCGAGGACGGGTCGTGATGCGCTGGGGGCACTTTTGGTGCATAGGACTGACTCAGCACATAGCACCCCATGGAGCATCAAAAGGGGATAGGGCTGATCAGTCATACAGTAATACACAGAGTCCTTCCCTCAACCCTTAGCCGGAGCTCCTAAACCCGAAGCTCTAAACCCTAAGTCCGGGTTTAGGGCACTTAAGCCCTGAAAGAACCTCTACCACACTGGTTTTATATGAATATGTGACAGCCTTGTGGGTTCGATTCCGCAGGTAGGGTCTTGTCGTTGTCCTGGGCGGTAGGAGGTGGTCTTTAGGGTTTAGGATCTGGAGTTCAGGTTTTAAGGATAAGGGTTTAGGATTCCGTCTCGTCTTTGAAAGGCTGTCCAAAAGCGACTACCGGAATTGCACCACCGAAGGGCTCAATCAATCTTGTCCCAAACATGGTGTTGTTGTTGCGGAATCTAGCTCAAGATTCGGTTATTCATGTATATGTATGTGCCCGCACACACACACACGCTCACACACACACACATATATATATATATACATATGTACATATCTTCATATACAATATAATACATATGCACATATACATACATAGTTACAAACACACATACATACATGCATACATGCATACATCAGTTCATACATGCATACATGCATACATGCATACATGCGTACTGCATACCTGCATACCTGCCTGCATACATACATGCATACATACATGCATACATACATACCACAGACATACCACAGACATACATATACACACACATATACACACACACAATCAATATATACATATATACACATATATATGTATATATACATACACACATATACACTAGCTTTAAAAGGTGTATGTATGTGTTATGTGCATCCATGGGTATATGTATACGGGTATATACATATATATGTAACATGTATATACATATGTACATAGATACATATGTACGTATACATATATACACATATACGTATATATGTGTATATGTGTATATGTCTATACGTATATATGTATATATGTATACAT